CAGATCCAGTTCTCTCCCGGCCATTGGCGCCGAACATCGGCGAGGCGGCGGCGGCGGCGGCGTTCTTGAAGCTACCGCTGGTGCGGAGGCGGCGGCTGAGGGAGGTGGTGAGGGAAGCGGAGCGAGCGGGACTGAGAATGGACTTGGAAGAGATTCTCATGGAGGAGGAAGAGGAGAGACGAGAGGTGAAACAGATGAAAAGGTCAGTAGTTGGAGCAGCAGTGTTGTTGCTGCTGCTAAGGCTTGAAGATCGGTGGGGTCTCTCTGCTTCCGCCATTGTTATCCACTTCGGTAAGATTCCTTTATCTTCGGGATTTTTTTTTTCTTGTTCTCTCTCCTTTTTTTTTTTACTGTGAGTGTTTAGCCATGAGAGCAGAGGCGGTGTGAATGAAGCATTGTTGTAGCTGTTTTGTTTGGGGTCACATGAAATGACGAGAATGCCCCTGTGGTCAACAGTCATTTTTTTCCGGTCATTAACAGTTGCTCCACCTAATATTTATCTTTATTTTTTAAAAAACATGATAATTCACTTCACTAGATTTAGTAACACATCCTCTCCCTTTTTGTTAAAAGAATCTTTGGAACAGTGACCGTTCTGTCTAAAGATGCTACTAATTATTATAAATTTATAGAATTTTATAATGAATATTACATTTTAAATCAGGTGATTAGTAACTTTATGTAGATGTTAATGAGATGATTATAAGTTAATACACACACGCACGTGTATGTAAATGCGTATCATATCTTTCTTTACCTTAGTGGTGAACTGAAAATTTTTATAAAAAAAAAACTAAAAAGAACTTTTTTATAAGGTGAAAGCAAAAGTTTGATAATTTTCTCTCAACAAAATACAATCTGGACCCTACGACCAAAACCCTTATGTTGCATGGTGGTGATTACAAAAATATATTTCGACATTATATATGCTTTTATTTTCGTTTGAATAATACCGGAGTTTGAATCTAATTCAAAATCTCTAAATATAATAAGAATTTAAAAAAAAAATCCGAAAAATCGGGAAATCACTACTTTTTGCGGTTAAAAAACATAATTATGGTGGAATAATTCTTGTTGTTTTCTATTTAAGAAAACTAATACATATACATTTTTATGCACGAGTTTGAATTCAATGAAAGCACTAATAGAAATTAAATTAACAAATATTTGTACGTCGTATTGATGCGTATGTATCTCTAGTAATACAACGATGCAACTTGGGGGAAACCAATAAATTCACATGAAAAGGGGAAAATCGCAAACAAAAAGATTGCATGGATGGTTGAAATTAAAAGAGAGTGAGAAAGGTGAAAGGGGACCATAACCCTTTTCATTAAGAACCAATAAAACCTTGGACCGGTCACGGGTCATGGTCATGGTCATGGTCATGGTCATGGTCATGGTCATGGCCACATGGGATGGTGGGCTCGATGCGGTCCATGACAAAAAGCTCACTCCCAAACACAAAAAAGTATCCAAAGGTCGCACCGCACGTGACCGATAGATAGGGTGATTGGATTATTCGTAAATCGCAATGGGTTTTGTTTTCTTTTTCTTTTTCTTTTTCTTTTTCCAATTATTGTTTTCATTTTTATTTTTCTTGTGTTTTGTGTATTTGTGTGTGTGAGCATGAAACCAATGGTACGTCGTGTCGCTTTTTTGCGCACTTAAGACGTTGGGCCCCACGCGCCTGTGCTCTGAAGTCTGAACACTGTGAAGCGAAGTCATAGCAGAGAGAGTAAAGAACACGCGCATAAAGGCGCGTGCTTGAAAAGGGTGATCTGGCAGAGAGAGAGGGAGTTTTGACCAAACTTAATAAGGGAAGACAAAGAAACTCATTTAATATTTGCATGTTCTGCTTTTAATGACACTTCGTGGCACTTTAATTATATTTTGTTATCTCCCTAATTAGTTTAATCATAATTACAAAAAACAAAAAGAGAGAACCACTAATCACAGTTTGATTCTGCTGTATGGTTTGCCATTTTCCATTTTCCATTTTCCATTTGATGTGATGTGATCTTCAATTGCGCTCTCTTGATTTTGTGAGATGTATGATCACATGATCATATGATGTGGAAACTCAATTATATTATGTTTTCTTTCATTAGATCTCATGAATCACATTATTTTTTTTATATATAAATGATAAGATATGTATTTTATTCAGGAGCCATTAGTTTCACTATAATGTGAGATGTATACACTCTGGTTGAGATAGGATCATATCAACTCTCAAAATTAATTGTTACATAACGTGCGGAGGCTAAGAGGAATGCCCATGTTACCAATAACTTCAATTGATAGTGCAAATTGGATCATACTTTCTTATGTCGCCAATTATATCCAAACTATTTCCCCCCCCCCCCCCACAATTTAACCATGATATAGGTCTTCAATTTTTTCAATACATTTTGAAACAGAGATCTGCTAAGGATTCTTGTTCTTAAAATTGGTTTCAGAGCCCTAGAACAACCTTACCCGGAATCTTCTTCTTCTTCTTCTTCTTCTTCTCATTCGCCTCGTGAGCCGCCATCACTTCTGTGATCGAAAAAGTCCGTACTTATCAGTCATTGATGCAGCTTCACCCTTTGATCAGAATAAACATATTGACGGTAAAAAGCATTACTATTAAGCACGATCCATGGCAAAGGGAGACAGATTTAACAGAGCAGGAACACGAGATATCGATCAAAAGAAAGTAGTACGTGCCTGGAGCATCATATAGTTTCCACCCTTTCTCGAGAAGTTTACACCTATCCTTTCTGTTTCGGACACACCAATAGTGTCCAGGAAGTCTCTTCATAGCCAACTGACGTTATGTCCTGCACATGAAAAGTATAAACGAATTAACACGAAGCAACTGTCCCAATGCCAATACGGAAGATTCACAAGTATTCGTCTCTTTACACATCAAACTAGAGTACCATTCCCTTCTCCTTCAATGACCCGAACATTATTCTTCAAAGCACGCCATCCAGTGAGTGCTGCGAAAGGAATGTCGCTTGCTTCCTACAAAGAGCAATAGCCAACAAAACGGTTAGGCAATACAAGAAACATATGAACCCAATCATCAAAATCTTTCGGTTTAAAGGTATAATATTTCTACTTACAACATGAGAAACAGATGATGGCTTCTCTGTGAGCTCATCTTCTGAAAGAATCCCATAGTCGGTATATGTATCCGTCATTGCTGTAGGCTGCAATGCACCAAAAACTTCCATAGCTCGTCTTCTTCCCCAAATTTAAACGATGTTACCAAAGTGCCAACTGATGCAACTTCACCGCTGATATCACAACCCAATATAATAGGTAGATGTAGTCCGAACACAGAACGCCTGTAGCCTGCTCGCATCTAAAGGCAACAAAATTTGATATCACAAATCTGATTCATATCAGCCCAAAACCAAATCATCCTATCAATATTTTCAAAGAAAACAATTGACTGCAAAGACCCAAAATTGATCATCAATGCTAATTATCCCTACTTGATTCACCGATGATAACAATATTTGATATCACAAAGTTGATTCATATCAGCCCAAAATCAAATTATCCTTTCAAAATTTCCAAAGAAAACAATTTACTGCAGAAGTCCCGAATCTGATCATCAATGCCAAATATCCCTACTTCATTCACTGATGATGCAATTGGATAAACCAACTCAATTCTTCGGGTTTCAGTCGTTTTCATTCATTTTCCAGGTTCACTCGCTAATCTACCCAAAAAACCCGAGCAAAACCTACTTTTTGATCCAATCAATTTTTACCCATATTTCTCTCAACAACCAAACAATCCAACGCCGGCGATGCAAAAGGAAATCGAGAGTGGATCAGGAAGAGGAATCTCACTCGACAATCGAGAGGGTTGATGGAGACAGTTCGCGCACGAACAAGAACCTCGTAGGGCTTGAGATTCGGCACTGGGACAAGCTCCCGGAGCTCTAAAATCTCTGGAACAGCCGAAGCGCGTCAACCTCACGGTTCGGAAACTGACGGTGAAGGTTCGTCGGAAGGAACTCAACCTCGCAGGACGGCAAACGATGCCCCGCGACTTGCATTTTCCAACATCTCTCGATTCGTCGTCCGTCTTCGTTATTGCCATTTCTGGCCTTATGTTATATCCATCAGCAATTGGCTTGGTTAACCGGCCTGAAAACCGATTTACAACTACTCAAAAGACAAAACCGATCCGGTTTATGTGCTAAATCAAATCAAACCAACCGGAACCCAAAATTCATCCATAATATCATAACGAATTCTCCGGTTTAAGATTAGATTGAGAAAATTCAACTCGAATTCAGGGTGTGGTGTCCGTGCTATTGGGTTTATTATGGTACTCGGTTTTTATCGAATTTAAATTTTGATAAATTTGAACCGAGAACAAATGGATATAGAAATAGAAATAGAAATAGATAATTCGATTAAGTGCGATAGAGAACAAATAATAAACAAACTATTTTTTATTTGGAAAGAAAAAAAAAGATTTATAATCATGTCAATGTCTATATATGTACACCGAATAAATCTAAATAAAATATACTACTGTATATATTATAAAGATCCATTTACATCTAACTATGACTATGAGACTTCAATTCATTTTTGTTTTCCACATGCCTAAAAAGATTTTTTTCCCAGAAAATTTAAAATTCCGAAAAACAATTGGGTTATATTAAAAATGTTTTTTTATCTCTATTAATAAATATTAAAATTATTATTCTAAATCATATGATATAGATCTTTATATAATTTATGGTAATATTAATGCAGTTTAACCTAGACATATAGATGATATAGATAAGGATAAATAAATCGACAAAAATAGCTCATTTTTTTTTTTCAAAAGAACATGTCATCCACTAATGTATTTTTCTTTTTTTTTTGTGTCTCCGGTAAATCCAAATGTATCCACTAATTGGTCGGTTAAGACTTGATCCCTTCTAAATTATTTTCCATAATCATATGATATTATATTTTTATTTTTTTAGGTTTGACAAAGGTTATTATATGATATGGTTAGTTCATTTTTAAATTGCTATAATATTTTCCTTTATGATAATTTGGAAAATTTTAAACGATTTATTGAGCATAAATAGGTGACATGCTGGTCTCACATTTTCTCTTTTCGTAATAAATATATGCTCAATTATTTCGTGTGAAAAACGAATTTAGTTGGAAAAATACTCGAATAAACAGTTAATCTAAAAAATAGTTTTATATTATTGCAATTCATATTAAATTAACTTCACAAAATCATATTTAATAAAATAGTTTCGATAAAATAAAGCTTATTACAGTTTGCGGTTGAGAAACCCGGAGCCTTCGGTTCATATGCAACTATTAAAATAAGGATTCGGATAAACTCATTAGAATATGAAGAATATGCCTTTTTTTTGTTTCTTTATGCTGTCTTTTTTGTTGTTAAATAATTCTATAATTATCTGAAAATATTAAACAATCTAAATGTTGATAAACTGGTTTTATTTTTTCTTATATGAAAAATCCCCTTGTCGGTTTGTTAATTAATTATATGAATATCTGGAAAATAACCTTTTTGTTATGGTTTTCTATATGATAGAAATATTGCATGTTGATAAGATGTATTTGTTTGATTTTTTTTTGTGTGGAAATGGGTATATTATTATTTCTTGATAATTTATAGTTTGAACTATTTTTAACAATTTTTGTTATCTACTAATAAAAATTAAACAGTCGCTAGAAAATTAAAGCAGGCCTGAATCAAAGCATCTTATTTCATGGTTGACATGCTTTGGTATCAAATGAAGGATTGTGATTTAAAAAAAAAAGGAAGAAGAACAAATCCCATAATTATGACGATTCATATAATTAAGAATCGGGTGGGCACGGATCGGATATCCGTGATTTTTGGGATATCCGTATCCGTATCCGATCCGCTACCCGATCCGCCCAAATATTCGATTTTATTATCCGTATCCGATCCGTAATTTACGAATATCCGAAATTTCGGATATCCGTAAATATCGCGGATATTTGCGAATATCCGTATCCGACATTAAAAATTATAAAAATTAAATTTAAATTTAAATAAAAATTTTAAATTAATTCAAATACAAATATAATCATAGTTTATCATATACAAATATATTGAAAGTTCAAAATTCAAAAATTAAACATAATAAATTTTAATTTTCAAAAGATTAATATTTTACATCTCAATATATATACAAAATATTTATTAAATATCTCTATAAAATAGATAAGTATAAAGCATTTTAAATTTTTATAGCAAATTATTTTATATTTAATAATATTATTAATTAGTACGGATCGGATCGGATATGTCGGATAATTCGAATTCGATATCCGTATCCGATCCGTATCCGACAAATAATTCAAAATAAATATCCGTATCCGATCCGTAACCTTCGGATATCCGAATTTTCGATTCGGATACGGTTCGGATAACGGATCGGTTCGGTTTTTCCGGATATTATACCCACCCCTAATTAAGGTTACGCCTTACGTCGTCGTTTTGGACATTGAATTTTTTTTCCCACTCAATAAGAAAAAATATAAAAAATGAAAACTAGAAATAGAAATAGGAAAAATGTAAAATTAATTGGAAAAAAAAAGGAATAGAAAGAGAATAAAAAGAAAGTGTGGAAATGAGGAAAACAAAACCGGAAACCGACGACGCCTCTCTCTATTGCTCTATCTCTGGTTCTTGGATCTCTGTCCTTGATTAAACCTCGATAATCAGGTATAATCATCGCGATTCTCGATGTTCGTTTAGTTCCCAGTTTCTTGTCCTTTTCGTTGCGAAAATCTTCATCTTTGTTGTGATTATTTTGCCGATCACCTTCAAACATTTTTTTTGTGGGTGATTGAAGCATTGCATTGTTCTGGGTTAGTTCAAATTCGGGTTCAATCTCTCTCGATCGTCTAGGTTTTAAAATCGTTACCGCTTTTATGATTATTTTTGCTGCAGGGAGTTTTCGGGATAAGAGTCTTTCATCTGTTTCGCAGTCGCTCGCAATCGGTGAAATTTGGAAGCTTTTCAATCTTAATGCTTGCAAGGTCAGACATTTATCTGTGTTATGTTTGCATATCACCTCCTGAGAATTGGTTTTTTTTTTTCTCCGATTTTGGTTTGGCTACAGAAAAGATGGGTTCCTCTATATATATCACTGTTTGGCTTCCGAGAAAATTATTGGTTTGGGAAAAAAGGCAGGAAATTGGAAGTTTTTTTTTTCTGTCTTGGGTTGCAGAACTTGTGTAGTTCGAGGGTTACTCTGGTTTTCTTTGATTTTTTGCTACTCATGTTGCGTTCCTTCCTGAAAAGGTCTTGGCTCTTAGCACTTCCATGATCTTGTATGACCAATGTGTTTTCCGAGGATATGTTATTTTTAGGATTTCATGATGTGGGATCATAACTAAAGTGTTATGGGGAACGTTGGAGACTCATAATCTGTTCTTCTCGTGTCGAATTGAGGAGAAAATGTGTTTCTGTTATTGATTCGCTTACTAGCTCCGGCTTAGAGTTCCACTACTAGCTCTGCAACCAATTTCAAAATCAGGAATTGACATACAGGTTTGCTTTGCCTTTGATGAGTTTTCTGTTTTTGCGTCGTGATCGTGCCTTCTAACGAGCATACAAGGTTTATCATTAGTTTAAGTATCGGGCTGAGATGTAATGCATGCCATTAGTGGCAGTTTAGTTTGTTGTTTCTATGTGATTTGATTTGTTATTAGTGAAGTTCTTATCAGCTATCTCTTCTGTCTGTATATCTGTTGCATCACGGTACTCATTTTTTTATTATGTTTTTTTTTTCTGGTTAACTATCAAGGTTTATCTGCCTCAAGCAATATGGGACAAAGAAATATGACGGTTGATTTAGAAATGCAACAGCAGTCTCAAGGCTATGTACTACAACCCGAGCCTTGCATCTTTTTAGGCAGTTTTCCTCAACTCGATATCCCTGGCGTGGTCACAGCCGCTGGGAATGTCCCAAATCTGGAAGCTCATCCTCTGTCAGAGCCATATGACAACGCAATGTTCTATGGAGCTCCTCGATATCATCAGAGTGTTCACCATCCTCATCATCACCATGCTTCAAGTCTTGATGCGGGCATTTCAACCGCACCGAATTTCTATCTCCCTTATGTTTCTTTCCATGCTCCGCCAGGTCAGTTGCCATCTTCTAGCAGCCATGGTGCGGTTGGAATAACTTCTGATGAACATGAGAGGAATGCCCATGTGATGGATCCCACTAGAGGATCATATAAAAGAAAGAATGCAGAAGGAACACCTGGGAATTCTCAGTATTTAAGTAGTGTACCAGCTCCTAGTTCTTTCCCTCCTTTAAATACAACCGAGGCAGCACCTTTCTCCTCGCCACAGTTTAGAGGGGCTGGTAGTAGTGCACAGTTTAGACCGGGAGCCACTACGATGGATCCTGTTCTCCCTCATGATCAGAACAACTTTATTCAGGGAGGAAACTATGCTGATCAGCCTTTTCCACCGGCAGGATCTATCTGGTTTGACCATCATTGGATGTGTAATGGCAGATCTGATGGATCGCCTTCCCCTTGGTCCCCGGCTTCTTCTGTACCTTATATGCCTGGTACCATCTCTTTTATTCTCAGCTCTTAGCTGACTTTTCAATTCTTTGAACTTTGAAATCTAATTTCTTCACCTTAAATGATCTTTGAAGGTAGCAGTTTTGTTTCTGGTTCCATAGAGCCTAGGAACATGTGCCTCCCGAGATATCACGAAACATCTAGTAGCAGAAATCCCACGGCATCCGTATATCCTTCTCCGCTAAACCCTAGGCACCACTATTTTGGTCCATCGCCGCCTCCTATTCAACGAGTACACCCTCACATGGCCTTGGCTCCATACGGAATTCCTGCCAACTATGACCCTCAAAGCACTATTCATGACACTTCAGAGATGGGTTCAACTCATGTCGGATCGATTCAACCAACCGGGTTTAGGATATACCTGGAAGATCGTGTACTTCCTGAAGCAACTTTCAGACGACGTGGACTCCCTCGACTCAGAATCCTGCCAGCTGAAGTCATATTCTTTTTCATTTTCTCTCTTCTTTTTTTTTTCATATTCAGTGTTGTCGTTTGCAAGATTGTGCTTTTTCACCAATCTTTTTGTTGATGTTAATATGTGTAGGATGTTGCACTAGTGGAGGTAAGAGATTTCAATGACACTGGACATCACGTCGACCATCACAGAGACATGCGTTTGGACATAGAGGACATGTCTTACGAGGTCAGTTCAGGATCTGCCTTAACCAAATCTAGTTCGTGCATAGGCTATTGTTTTTAATCTGAAACATAAAAATCCGGGTGGCAGGAGCTTCTTTCGTTGAGCGAGCGTATTGGAACCGTGAACACTGGTTTGTCAGAGGAAAAAGTTGAGCAAAATATGAAGACGAGAAGCTATTTATTGGCTGGAATCAATCTCGACGTGGATCCAGCAAGTGATCTTGAAACTGATTCTTGCACAATATGCCAGGTTAGCAATTCTTCTGTATGAAACATTCACTCCCCCTCTCTCTGACAATAGCTTAGAGCTTAAAAATCTCTGCTTTTTTTTAATGGAAAATGGCAGGAAAACTACAAGAACCAGGAGAAGATTGGGACACTGGAATGCGGGCACGAGTACCACGCGGGATGCTTGAAGAAATGGCTGTTTGTGAAGAACGTTTGCCCCATCTGCAAATCCGAGGCGCTTGCAATATAGGAAGCTGTTCGTCGTTGTGCTTTATCTATTATCAGGCTTTATATATGTATGTATAAGAAAGAAAGAGAAGGGAGTTAGGGCATTTCTTCTGGCTGCTACAAAATCTGTAAATCTGTACCTTTGTGCACATTAAACGGTTAGGCTCCGAGGCTTTGGCATGTCATTTGAAACTTGACTCAGTTGTGGAAGAAATTTTGTACAGTCTTTTGGTTGCTCTGTTAGTGGACCTCTTTTGATGGCTCACTCTCTCTCTCTCTCCCCTCTTCGTTTAGATTTCCCTCTATCTTGTTTTCTTAAAGATTCTGCACAGATTGGAATGCTGTATTTGGCAATTTAGTAAAACGATGATCGATTACATAAGTTAACTGTTTTTGTGTGATATCGATCAAAAGGACAACAAAAGGGAGAGATTAGTTATCTTCTTCCTATGGATCAACTTTCAGGGGGTTAGTGAAAAACCCTACAAGAACAATACAGGAAACTGGTATATTACCAGAGACACGACAGACCCAGATGCTGGAAAATCAACTTGAGCAGCAACCGACCTTCTTGACGGCAGAAACATCGTCCTTAGACCCGACATTGATGGTCTGTCCCCTGGGAAGTGCAGCTGGATCCTCTCCTATATCCAGCGCTTTCCGGCTCACCACACGGTATATCTGAGAGAGCACCTCGGTGAAAGCGTTCTCGACATTCATTGATTCGAGGGCAGATGTCTCCATGAAGAAAGTGTTCTCTCTCTCGGCAAATGCCTTTGAGTTGTCGGTTGAAACAGCTCGTAGATGGCGGAGATCTGCCTTGTTCCCGACGAGCATGATCACGATGTTGGAGTCTGTGTGGTCTCGAAGCTCTTTCAGCCATCTTTCGACGTTTTCAAACGTTACGTGTCGTGTGACGTCGTACACAAGCAAAGCTCCCACAGCTCCTCTGTAGTATGCGCTTGTGATCGCTCGGTATCTTCAACACAAAATCAAGCATTGGTTCTCCTCGGATTATTCTTTAAATACCAAATTGAGGATCATAAACTTGATTATTAACAGAGAAGAACATCAACAGCTTTCAATAAGCAAGCATGGAGCATGGACAAGTTTATACATTCAGCTGATTCTCGGAATCGTCGACAACAGATTTCACAAATCCTCGAATCCAATGGAACAAGTTCGGATTCGATCAACCGCTCATTCGAAAATGTACCCTACATTTCCTTCTTTACCATTCCGATCAAAACTTAAGAGCAAAATTCCAGACACAAACATAGAAAAAATTACGAAACTTGGAAGAGATCTATCAAATTATATACCTCTCCTGACCAGCGGTGTCCCAAATCTGAGCCTTCACGATCTTATCATCGACACGGATGCTCCGGGTGGCGAATTCGACTCCGATGGTGGATTTGGACTCGAGGCTGAATTCGTTGCGCGTGAATCGAGAGAGTAAATTAGATTTTCCGACACCAGAATCTCCTATCAAGACAACCTTGAAGAGGTAATCATAATCATCGTCTGCTCTATACGCCGCCATTGTTAGGCTCTCCCCGATCAGGAGCTCTCGCTCGGGAAAATTATGGATCGAAGATTAGGAAATCAGTCGCATGCACGTAACGAACGGTGTGCGTGTGTGTGTGAGAGAGAGAGAGAGAGAGAGAGAGAGAGAGAGAGAGAGAGAGAGATTCGAATTTTGGGGCGAGGCGCAAATTGGTGTAAATTGCGGAAATCGTTGTCGGGCCGGGCCGGGTTCTGCTTTTTACAGGAATCCATTACAAAATTTTAGCAAGATACGGTCTCTGAAAGATATTTATTTTTAGTTTCGAATATTTTCCATTTTGTTAGATTATCATTCAATAAATTCGGTTTTTTAAAAAATATCACTGCATTAAATCAGATTAAATCAAATAACGGTTCGATTTTTTTTCCCATTCCATTTCCATTTAAAAAATCGATCGAGCCAAATTCATAGAAAGTTGTGAACTTTATCCATGTCTCTAATCTGGGTCAAATACCCTGATGGAGTTTAGTCTATGGTTTTGCAAGAACATGAACAAGTCACTGTGACTACCTTTGTCCAAAAGACCGTACACCTTTGCCACGTACCCGAAATCTTGTCCGTACATGTGAGAAGCGCAAGCCCCTTTGCATGCCATGAGCTCTAGCTCACCTGTCCAGATCGAACAAAAACTTCGTTACCGTCCGTTTCGTTTATGTAATGAACTGTTATGTTTCAGATTGCATTATGTTTGTTTGTACCGCTCTCGATCTCCGAGTCGAGCGTTTTCAGGGAGAAATGGCGGGTCAACCACCATTTTCTCCGGAGCTTCCAGGCTTTTCCCGATGTTCTGTCGGTAAACACCTTCGGGGTTCGGCTGTATCGTACGGAATAGCATTTCGTCTCCTCTCCTTCAGTCCCATCAGCACATACCGACATCCTGTCCTCGTCGGTCTGACACAGTTCAAAGAAACACGTGGCAAACTGTCTCCATATCTCGGGCTTGGGATAGGAAACTTCTAGATGCAATGCTATCATTTCGATCAGACACTCTGTATCATAAACACCTGCAAAAAGGGGATATTTTCAAATCAAAGAAAATTCCATTCCGAAAATAGTATGTCGCAAACTTAGTTCTACCATATATGGGAGGAGAGGAGACTGATCTTCATGTCCAATGTTACCTCTGTGATGCAGGTTGATAAGTTTCATCAGAGTGCGGGTGCATCTTCCATCAATGTTCAAGACATCTTCGTAACACTTTGCAAGCATGTCGCTGTCGGGATGGAAAGTCTCCAAAAGAACGGCCCTAATCCTGCAATCGAGCAGAGAAATAATCTATTCTTTCTTTCCGTTTTCTCATTCTAACTCTCGTGCAGTATATTGCATGAAGCCGAGGCTCTTGTACCTGAAAGCTTTTAGGTCGCGTACTTCGTCACAAACCTTATCAACCTCTTTCTTCGCTTCGTCTATTTGACCTCCCATCAGCAACAACTAGGAGGAGAATATGAAATCAGATAAGAAAAGATAAAAATCCCACAACAGTTAAAAAAGATTAAAAAAGCCTAATTGATGAGCTTTAGAAGCAGATCCAAAGCATGAATAATCTAGTCGAGCAAACCGTTCACCATTCTCGTGATTCGTGAATATAATGACATAGCTATTTGAACTGGCATACCTGTACAAGCGGACGTAATGCAGCCAATGAAACAGGATGAGAAGAATCGAGTGCAAGGCGCATATACTTCACAGCTTCCTTATAGTGGGAATCATTGAGCATTTTCACATAGTGAGCAGGATCCTTTGGTAGTTTCACAGGAAGCAACCACGATTCCATGGTATCTATCAAAACAGAGGCCAAAACAAATCACACACACGGATACTAAAAAAGTCTCGCTAAAATTTAAAAAAATGGATGAATGTCAAAACTCACCAAGAAGAGAAACTAGAGAAGGATTAAATGTATGAGCAGCATCATTTTGCAAGGATTCATTTTCATCAGAGCTGGCATAGAGTGTTGCCGTCTGCGTAAGATGCACAGGATTGTCCAGTTTCGATTCGGTATCAACCTTTGTATCCGTTTCCATCTCCTGAACACTGATGAGCGCATGGGAAATTCTTTTTTCATTCATGACAGAAGATTCTGACACGTTTCCGGCTGAAGCCTCTGGGTCAAGACTACAAACTGATTCATAGCCACCCGAATACCCAATTGGATGGTCGGATCTTGATTCGGACATCCCTAATATGCTGGGGTCTGCATCTTCAGATTGTAGATGATTCAGGTAGTTACGACTCCACAGCGCATAGAAAGTCAACCCTACAAACAGATGGGAACGCGGAAGTTTTCCCAGCTCACGATCCTGCATTAAGCTACCAAATGGAGAAAAAGGAAAAGAAACCATAATCAAGGAAATATAATTGCAAGTGAGAACCAACATGTGCTGCATTCACGGAGATGAACTCTATACTCGGTAAATCAAGAACAGTTTTGGTGAGACAGATAATCAAACAAACAAACAGAACAGAACAAGTCCACGAGAAGATCATTGAGGGATAACAAGCTAGAGAAATCTGGGAAGCGTAAAACCATTTGAGGGGCCAAATTCATGAATGTTACCTGACAGCAGCCTGGTAAGCGTCATCGTCATTCCCATGCTTGAGAAAATGAAGAATCTGTTCGATGCAAACCGAGAGTCTCTCCTGCCCAACGACCAACTTCTCATTGTAAGCTCAATCACAGAAAAGGAAAATCCAAAAGTGCTGGAAAGAGTGCAGCTTTTTGCATATGTTATAACAAAGCATGAAAACATTAAGACAAGAGTATTTAGCGATGCAGAGTAGGAGAATCACATAGAAAATCATGAGCAGAACTACCTCTTTATGCTCTTTTCCAATCTTGCCAATCCAAGTATCATAAATTTTGCCGATTTTTGCAGAGCTGAGACCGTCAGTAGTCAGGCGACTCTGAATTCGTATCAGAGCCTGCAAGAATCGCTAATAAATGCATCTGATTCTCTATAAGCAAACAACAATTCCAGAAAATATTACTACCGAACATGAACAGCTAACACTACTGATTCAAAGCTACAACACCAGTTTCAGACAAGAACAAAAAGCAGCCAAACAATTTCTTTAACAGGAAGCAAAGTAACTCACAATGTATTTTAACCGGTTCAGCTCCGGAGAACGATCTCCCATTGTCCCTTGCATCAAAACACTAAGAACACCACTCGCTTCTCTCCAGTTCTGCTGGCGAAGCAGATCGCGAAGAATCGTTGTCAGTCTCTCACGATACTCGCATTGGACACTCTTCGAATTCGGTCCGAGACCAAGGAGGTAAGAGGGTTTCGCCAATGATCGGACAGCTCTCTTGAACCGCCTGAGGGAGTCATGGTCGAGATCGTTGTCGTCGGAATCAACACTGTGACTGTTCTCGGCTTTGATTTTCTTTGAGATTTTTTGTTCCTCCTCGATATCCTCCATTAGGGGAATACCCTAACCCTAGAATATACACACCAAAATTATGGCAGAAAAGAAGCGAGAATGGAGAAGAGGAGCGCATAAGCTTGCTTTTTCCGGCGGCGGCGATGAACTCAGGACTTTCAACTATTGGGCCTACAGAAACAGAACCTATATTATTGGGCCGGATCCTCTTTTGGGCCTCCTTTTTTTATTCACACAGATATTTTAGGATCTGTATTTTTTTTTCTGGCAAAAAATGTATTCATTCAGAATAAAGTGTTATCAAACTTTTTTTTTGTCATCACTAAAGTACATTTAACATTCACATATGCACGAGTTGTCGCTTTTTTAGATAATACCAAATTGTCCCTATTCCATTTTTAAAATTTTTAAATATATATATATATATATAAGAATCCGATTGTATAGGAGATTATCCGATGTCTAATCATGACTTTTTCACATATTGCAATGTCATTGATTTTGTTATTGACATTTTTCAATTTTGATTTGACTTAATTTATAAACTATATATAAAATCCAATCGAAACTTTTACATTTACTATAGACATTTATTACAGAGATATCAAAATATCCCAACAACCAAAACTTAAACAACCCAAATATAGATATCTGATCATTTGGATTAGATTCTCAAATATTCAAATATTGTATTTTTTTTAATAAGAAATAAATATTTTAAATTTTTTTGTGTACAATAGTATCCAATCCATCCCTAGGTGTAAGGTCCTCACGTGTGATCCATACAGTATAAAAATCTTAAATAATTTAGATATTTTCCCTCTTCATTCCAAGTTGTTAATATTTTATTTTATAGATATATTCCCTTTTTATTATATAATAATATGTCGGCAGTCTGCAGATACAGCGTCAATGCAAAAATGTGTAAAATTCCAAATTTGCCCCTAGGAATATCTATTAGCCTTAAGTGATCCACCTGTAGACGTGTCAGCATTACCGGTAATAACGACATGGTTTTCATCTGCTGTTTTCTTACACACCCAAAAATACCCCTGCATTTGTGGAACAATTAATTATTATTTTTGGTAAAAACAAAAAGGCAATTTACACGGCTAATTCAATTTATAATCAAATAGCCATGAAAATTATACTTTAATCTTCTAAAATTACTTGTCTACATAATTACATCTCGAATTTGAGACGAATAATGTTCGATAGCTTATTCACATTTTTAATCGATTTGTTATAGTTCATGATCTAACATTAAATCTTGGAGTATTCAATGCAGTATCAGAACTAGTGATGTCAAACGAGCCGACTCGAACCAGTTCGGATCACCTCGTTCCGAGTCAGCTCGTTTTCAGTCTAATTCATTAAGTCTGTTTTTATTCGGGTCAAAAAATTCTTGACTCGCTCCAAGTCGTTCTAGGTGGCGAGTCGAATAAAAATAAAAATAGAAAATATTAAATATAATTTAAAAATATTAATTAAAAATAATTATTAATATATTTAAAAATAATAAAATTATTTAAAATTGATAAATCTTTTCTAAAATTATTAAAAAACTATTAAAAACAAAATAATTTTTTTTCTGGTTCGCGAGCCAGTTCATGACTTCGTGGGCTTGCCGAGCCGGCTCGGATGAACTTGACTTGTGACGAACTGATACGATCGGTCCGTTTTTATTCAAACTCAAATTTTTTTGGCCCAAATCAGGATAATATGGGTCAATTCACGAAACCAGCTCGCGAAGGCTCATTTTAACATCCCTAATCAGAACGAATTTCATGTATTTATTTTTTCCAAATAAACTATCAATGGATTTTTTTTCGATAAATAAGGAAAAACTATAATTTTTTTGGTTGAATTATAGATGCTTTTCTAAATTTGAAATAAAAACTGATATGTATAACACACATATTTATGTTTTAATTTTATTAATTAAAATGAACCTTTTTTTAGTGTAATTGGATTTTTAAGCTATATCAGCTTTAATTCTGGTTCTAATAGGTAATTAGCAGCAAATCTAGGGGTAAACCCGTTAAAATGTCCCCGTCAACGGCATTGCCCCTCTGGTATATTATGAGTCGCCCATTTGCTTCTCCCACTTCCCGTATTTTTCAAACGGACCCACACGATTCGGACACACGTTTACCTGTTAAGATCAAATCTCTACATACATTACCTGTATATATATATATATGTACATATATGCTCATCCACATTTCTACAGTATCATCTCCTTCAAACTTGCCCAATAATTCCGAAACCCAACAATGAGATCCAGACCACTCCTCTCCTTCCTCTTCCTCCTCGCCCTCTTCTGCTCCCCCGCCGCGTACGGACGCTTCGTCGCCGTTCGTCCGTCGTCGACGGGTCTGATCTCCGATGGAGTTCACGACGGCTCCGGCGACGAGGGCTCGGTCATCGAGACGGTGGTCTCGGCGGCTCCGGCGGAGGTGGAGGAGGAAGTTTGCGAGCAGACGTACGGGTTCATGCCCTGTACGAAGACGGCCCTAGGGAACGTGTTTCTGATCCTCGTGTACGGATACTTGATGTTCACGGCGGCGAAGTACCTCTCCAATGGCAGCGAGCTTCTCCTCGAGATCCTCGGCCCTGGGATCGTTGGTGGGCTGTTCCTCCCCGTGCTCGGAGCACTTCCCGATGCTATGCTCATTCTGGGTATGCGAAAAGTTTCGATTTTTATTCTGATATCTGAACTTGATCTGAAGATCTTATGCTTCGAATCTTCGATCTGCGTGTTGGTCTAATTTGGGTAACGGAATCGAAATTGATTGGGCGAGAAAATGATGGTTCTGGGTTGGTAGTAGAGAATCTGATAGGGGAATCTTTTGCTTTCTGGATCTGGAAAACGAATCCATGGAATTGTGTGGAACTGTTTCGAGAGATCCCTTGGTTCTTCGTTAATTAGAGATGATTGTGAAAGACAGACTTTATTCCTGTTGTCTTGGAAGTGATACCTGAATCTATCACCGGCCACATTTCCTTGTAACTTGTCTGATTTTTGTCGATGAAGTAGCATATTCCTCTTCTCCTTGTCTACTGCCTTATCCTTATGTCTATCTGGGTTTAACACATTTGATTTGGCTCTGCGACGCACAGTTTCTGGACTTTCTGGAACCCCGGAAACCGCTCAAAGTCAGGTCTCAGTCGGGATGGGTTTGCTCGCTGGTTCGACCGTTATGCTCCTCACTGTCATATGGGGAACTTGCACCGTGGTTGGCAAGTGTGACCTTCGGGATTCGATTGCTGTAAACGGGCAAGACACAAAGGGCTTCCACTTAACTGGTAAGAGTTCCGACATATACTCAGGCCCGTTTGATCATACTTTCATTGTTCCTTCACTACTGTATCCGCCATTTTTTGTTTATCCATAGGTTCTGGTGTCACTGTTGATATCTGGACCAGCTATGCTGCAAGAATCATGGCTATATCAGTTATCCCATTCATCGTTGTCCAGTTCCCTCAGATCATGAACTCAACCTCCGGAAGGCACTTTGCCGTCTTGCTCGCTCTTATCATCTCTGTTGCAATGTTGATCTCTTACTGCGTATACCAGGTAACACTTAAACTCTTTCAGACAAGCGTTTGGACATCATCAAAATGCCATCTATTCGTATAAATCTACAAATTGCCTGTTTCGATTTCCAGGTTTTCCAGCCATGGATCCAAAGGAGACGACTTGCTTTCGCGAAGCACAAGCATGTTATATCAGGAATTCTAAGGCACTTGAAACAGCATGCTTTGGGAAGGCTTCTCGATGACAATGGTGAACCCAATGAACATGTCATCCGAAAGTGAGTCCCGTGTTCTCTACTTACAGGCACTACATAGTATTGTTCTCTGAGTTTCTCATGTCCCCTCAATCTCATCTCCGTGTAGGTTGTTTGAAACGATTGACGAGAACAAGGACGGACGCTTGTCAGCTCCCGAACTTAAAGCACTCATCATAGGGATCGCTTTCGATGAAATCGATCTTGACAAGGATGATGCCGTGGGAAAAGTGCTCCAAGATTTTGACAAGTCGCTTGATGAGCATGTAGACGAGGACGAGTTTGTCCGCGGTATCAAACGTTGGCTCATCGAAGCCATGGGAGCCGGTCCAGCCGCTCCGGATGCCGGTCCCCGAACAATGAAGTTTATCGATCATTATCACCAGGTATGTATATGTACATATACACACACATGTGATGGTGAAACCAGTTGTCTTTAATGTTGTCTTGTTTTGCAGCAAGCAAAGAGAGAGCATGCTTTGTTGGGAGCACAAGAGGAGAATGAGGAGAACGACGAGGCTGCAGTTCATGTTGCAGACCCGAAAGCAATCACCATTAAAGCGGTTCTGATGCTTCTGTTGGGAACGGCCATTGCAGCTGCTTTCGCTGATCCTCTCGTCGACACCGTTCATAACTTCTCCGCAGCAACAAGCATCCCGTCTTTCTTCATCTCCTTCATCGCCTTGCCTTTAGCCACCAACTCCAGCGAAGCTGTTTCCGCAATCATCTTCGCCTCCCGCAAGAAAATCAGAACTGCCTCTTTAACGTTCTCCGAGGTCCGTTCCATGATTTCTCCAACGCATATTTCTCCTTCTTCTTCTTCCTCAAATCCCTAACGTTATGGTAATTGTGGTTTTCCTCTTTGAACAGCTTTGCGGTGGCGTGACCATGAACAACATACTCTGCCTCTCAGTTTTCTTAGCGCTTGTTTATGCCCGAGGACTGACGTGGAACTTCTCATCCGAGGTGCTGGTTATTCTCATCGTATGCCTCGTTATGAGCGGCTTTGCTAGCTTCCGTACAACCTACCCTCTCTGGACATGCTTCATAGCTTACCTCCTCTACCCTTTCTCCCTCGGTCTGGTCTACATCCTCGACTACTGGTTTGGCTGGTCATAGATCATCGTCCGGGTATCTTCTTGTCTTCTCGTGCTCTCTTTCTTTTATGTCAGACTGTAAAACTATCGAAAAAACCGAGGATTTTCTTGTGAAAATGCGATGAACCCATGTTTGAGTAATACATCTTTGTGCATGTTTCCTGCTTTTTTCGGTATACGAGGATGCTCTTTCCTGTCTGTTATTCCTTCCGAGTGTACATTCTCATGAAAAGAAAACTACAGCTGGTGACTATGAAACAAAACTGGCAGCATCGATCCTGTCTGTCAGGTTTTAAACTTGCTTGTTTGGTTTAGCCGGTCTCAGCCTCAGCTCGAGATCCAAACCTTCTTCTCCTTCTCCTCCTCCACCTCCATTAGAACCGCCATTGCTCTGGCTCGTTGTTGCTTGCTCGTTTGTCTCTAGCGCTGGTGGAGAGAAGCCGCGGTAAATGCGTACAGGCTGCCGCCGGGTCCGTCTGAATGCTTCATGTATGAAGATTTGGTCTCTTACATCTCTATCTGCTGCATCCTATTCAACAAAAGCGGATGGAGAAACTCTCGTCCATCACTGAACAAACACGAGAAACTCGATATGGGTTATGGTTCTTTGGGGCTTACCTGGTAAGGCAATGAGCCGAAATCAACTGTCTCGACATTGTAGGGCCTGAACCTCAAGTTTGCCGATGCTGTTCCCGGAGGTGCTAGCGAGAGGAAAGACCCCTTGTTCTCCTTGTTTATGACTCTGCAAAACACAAGTTGGAGCAGACGATTTCGGCGCACAGAAACTGAACTTACTGTGTCTTTCCAGTCACGCTGTCCAAAAAACAAGAACCCGTGTCTGATACTGACCTCTGCATCTGTGTCGCCTCTTTGTAATCTGATATTGCTGAGTCTGTGGAGAGTGGATACGGCCTCTTCTTGCCATTTCCCTGACACATTTCAAGAAACGTGAAGCAAAATCTCTCACACCCATAGAGCATAATGAAACGATCATCATCTGCATATATAGCCATGGAAAAGATACCTGATATCTCGGCTGCCACCGCTTGATTTGGTTTGAAGGGGGCTCCATGAATCCCATCAGAGATGATGTTGACGATGGCGATGATGAACAATTCGCCGATGGGAAACTCTCCTGAGAATGAAACCCGAAACAATTCCGAGTCAAGAACACACGTTGATTGAGGATATTAACACTAGAAAGACAGAACAACAGAACTGCAAGTTCACATCTTTTACCATTGGATGAGGATGTCGGTAATACAATCCAGGCGCAGAACAAGTGGAATTCATTGGGAAACGATGTTGGCAAAACAGATCCCAGTTGTAGTTCCATGGTCTTGGACAGTTAACGTTTCCTTGAGCTTGAGGAGGAGGATGTACCCATCTCAGAGAATTTGCGAGTTCTTCGATTCCTTTTATGCCCGGCATATCAGTGGAAGCGCAATTCAAAGGCCAGTCTGTGGGCTTAGCAAGATCAGAGTTGGGATTTACAGGAAGAACAGGGTCCAAAGATCGAGACTGGGATGGCGATGGAGAAAAATGGTGAACTGATTCTTCCTTCTCGAGGTGAAGAGCATCTGAACCTCTCGGGCGAGCTTTTCTCGGGGTTCGTCTGGTAGAAATCGACTTCCCTTTACTCACCTTACTGCCATCGCCATTTTCACCATTAGGAGAACTGCAACTGTTCTTGTCGGAGTCATCTTCTTGCGCCATTCCTCTAACTTTCCCTCTGAACGTCATCTGGGATTCATCTTGGAAGAGAACTCCAAGGATCAGCAGTATGCATATGTACGCACGTGCAGGTACGCCGATACGCCCACTCATGTCTCTGTGCAAGATTCAGGAAATGGGTCTTGAATGGGTTTTGACGATGGCGAAGTGGGAAAGACAAGTACCCAGATGAAAAAACACAGAAAGTTCGATTTTTTTTTTTGCTTTTTCCGATCAGTGAGAGAATCTCAGAATTCTGAATGAACTCTGATGAGGAAAACAAGATATACCCAGATGGGAAAATGCGGAAAAGCCGGAAACTTTTTGCTCTGATCGGTGAGAAAATCTCAGAACTATGAACGAAGGCTTGGCAAGAAGGTTTCTTTTCTCTCTCTCTCTCTCTCTCTCTCGAATGGTGAAGAAGACTTCGGTGAAATGAGTTGAAGGGAAGAAACCAAGAAAAGGTTTGGACTTTGAAGCTCTAAAATTCTAAGAAATCGGAATCATCTGGGGATGAACAAAGGAAGTACCAAACATGTCGAAGTCATCGGAGCAAAGATCGGAGCAAAACAGAGAGATCAGAGGAGACAAAATCTCTGGATTCTTTCTTCTTCTTTTGATTCAGAGATTTAAAAACTGCCAAAACGGATTTAAAAAGGAGTTCGGCGAAAAAACAAGGGTTCAGTCTTATCTTCACCACCATCTTCTTCCTTGTCTCAGCCAACAATGGCGGTATTTGAAGGAGAATACCAAAAGAGGAATCAAGAGAACGTCATTTGGAGCTGAGCATTTTTGGCAACTTTCTCGGGTTCTGCTTTCTCATGGACCCCACCCGGTAGTAGGATATGTATGATATAAAAAAAAAAATGGACAAAATATATAAATTCTTATTATTTGATATATAAAAAGCTAAATAGCTTAAAAATACCCTCTATCTTTTTTTTACTATGCAAAACAACACAAAGAAAGAAATCTAAAATGTGAAGCACAATGTGGTTAGTCTTTACATGAATGAAAAGAACAAAATTTACACTTGAATGCTTTGTCCATGTGAGCCTTTGGCATTACCTTCGTCACCAAACACCAAGATTTCGTGGGCCCCACCTAAAATGTTTCAACTACAATGTTTCATAATCAATTAATTCTAACCTCAAAATAATCGTGTCTCGGCATTAGATTCAGTTTCATATGTAAAAGAAAGTGCCAAATTTTGTGAATTGTAGACTTGAGGAAAATAAAAAGCTCAATTCGAAGGAAGTTCATTGAGATCAAATTTCAAGAAATGATAGTGAATCCAAACACAGTCAGGGAAAAAAATAAGAAATAAGACATGGATTTTCAAAAGAATAAATTATTAATAAGGTCCCGTAGCTCAGTTGGTTAGAGCGTTGGTCTTATGAGCCGAAGGTCGCGGGTTCGAGCCCCGCCGGGACCATTTTTATTTATTTCTGGAACGACTCCATTTCTTTGTAGAATTAGCAAATTTGACCCAAACTAACAATTTCGATCAGAAAAGCCCCTGATATTTTCCTTCAGGCTTGTCAAGAAAGATCAAACACAGTGTTCGTATGTTGGTTGGAATGTCAATCAGATGATTCCTTAGAAACCACTCAGCCACCTCTCTTGTCGTTTTCCCAGTTACCTTAAAAAGGAGTCATCACACAGTTCAAGTTTCATCCCTTCCCTCGCATGTTTTCTTGCCCCCATTTGGTGAATTTTCACATTCTAAAACTCTGCCATGATCTATATGCTAATATGCCTTTCCGCGTTTTCGTTTCTTTTCAGTATAGCTTCGTTTGGATCACTTTCCGCCTCTTCTTCATATTCAATACCCCGGACTCGGATATTGCAGGTTTGGTTTGACACCTCCCGAGGGCCTTCTAGGTGGTACGGAGGGTACTTATGGGATCTGGAAGATGGTTTCGGTGTCTAAAAGGAGCAAAGGAGGATAAAACGAATCGAGGAAAGGTCAAGTTGTATCAATCGATTCTCGGTTTTTCTTGACGTTTACTATTTCTTTCAACAACACTCTCAAGAAATCTTGGCTGCACTCTTTGAATCTCTTTCCGAACAAGAAATGCCTGAAAATGGCTAGTGCAAGGAACAAGATTGGATCATATTTGTTTTCCTTTTCTTCTTGATTGCTTCAGGTGCATTCTGAAAGATCGAATGGCACCAAACCGCGCGAATCTACTGCTCCTTTTACTGCGCTTATTGGCTCTTCGAGTGCTCGTACGGGGATGCCCATAGAAGAAGTTGCTGCAGTTATCATTCAAAAGGCTATCCGGGCATTCATGGTTATGTATTTTCCGGCGTTTTCTTATATCATTAGCTCCAGAGAACTCCGAGCTGATTCACTCCATCGAAACATTCTTGTGATGGGCAGGCAAGGAAGAGAATATACCGTCTGAAGAGTGCAGACAGGTTCAATTCACTGATCCGAGGCCACACCATCAAGAACCAAACCTCGGTTGCGCTCAGCGTGATGCATTCATGGTGCGATATACAGAGCCAGATCAGAGCCCGTCGTCTGTATATGGTAACAGAAGGAAGGCTCCAGCAGAAAAGGCTGGAAAATCGGCTGAAACTTGAAGCCAAGCTTCAGGAACTTGAGGTACTTCTTCATTACCATGGATCTTCTTCCGTCTTGTCTTCGTTCTGTTTCTCGTTGTCTCGTAGACAAACTTCAGATATGGGATATATGTATAGGTGGAATGGTGTGGAGGGTCCGAGACGATGGACGAGATTCTCGCTAGAATACAACAGAGAGAAGAAGCTGCGGTTAAACGTGAAAGAGCAATGGCCTATGCCTTCTCTCATCAGGTCGGTTCGAGTTTGGACAGATAAATTCAAGTAATGAAAATGATTCTTTCAATCCCTATTCACACAAAGCCCGAGACTTTCGATTCTTTAGGAACATAACAGAATTCAGACTGGTTTTCTAGTAAATATAACGATATTGCTCGGGTTTTTTTCCGGTTTTGCAGTGGAGGGCCAATGCAACACATTATCTCGGGCAGGCATCTTTCGGGCTTGGCAAAGAGAACTGGGGTTGGAGCTGGAAGGAGCGTTGGATCTCGGCTCGCCCTTGGGAGGTCAGGGTTCAGTCACAAGACATAAAACCGAAGAAGTGCCTAACCAAACCAACAAGCAAACCGGACAAAATCACCACACCTAAACAGGTTTCGGCTAATGGCAAGGAAGCTGCAGACCTCAAAAAGGGTGTTTCATCTTCTTTCGGATGATTACAGCAACAAAAACAAGATTGATGTTTTAAGTCTAGTTTATCTGTATATCAAGTATTCTGGTTTTTTCGTCTTGTTATGTTTATTGAAAACTTCTGGTTTGAAGAAGTTGGGTTCTTGACATAATTTGGTAATCGGAAAAGGCGAATTTGATTGGTTAAGAGATTATGAAATCAAATGTACCAATCTGAATTGCAACTCTGCAAAAAAAAAAAAAAAAAAAAAAAAAACATTCTTGAAAATGCATCACAGTCTGTGTTTTCTTCTGTATTGGTAACACATTAGGATCCTTCCAACCAACGACCAAGAAGTACCAACAACCAAAAGAAGCTCAAGTCAGCATCAAAATTAGCAGAAAGAGAAAGGTTTCTAACTTTTCCTTTTTTTTCTTAATTTAAAAAATAATATTAATTTATATATGAAAAAAGGGTGGGGAAATATAAAGAGAGACTACAGCTGGGGCTTTTGGAGAAGATTTTGGCACAAAAGGCAATGAGATCTGACAATGAGAGATGGAAAGGGTGGGGGACCAATTCTTACATGATGGCAAAGTACCCTCCCTTTTGGTTCTCATCCTAATAATTGACTTTGTAATTTAAAACTCTGAAAAAAAAAAAAAAAAAAAAAAAAAACATTCTTGAAAATGCATCACAGTCTGTGTTTTCTTCTGTATTGGTAACACATTAGGATCCTTCCAACCAACGACCAAGAAGTACCAACAACCAAAAGAAGCTCAAGTCAGCATCAAAATTAGCAGAAAGAGAAAGGTTTCTAACTTTTCCTTTTTTTTCTTAATTTAAAAAATAATATTAATTTATATATGAAAAAAGGGTGGGGAAATATAAAGAGAGACTACAGCTGGGGCTTTTGGAGAAGATTTTGGCACAAAAGGCAATGAGATCTGACAATGAGAGATGGAAAGGGTGGGGGACCAATTCTTACATGATGGCAAAGTACCCTCCCTTTTGGTTCTCATCCTAATAATTGACTTTGTAATTTAATCAAAGACATTGAAGAAGAAAGAAGACAATACAACATCACCCTTTGTTCCTATCCCACTGATGATTAACTTAACAATGAACATGATATGAGCCTAAACCCTACTTGGATGTAAATAGAAGAAACCCTTCTGGTGAATTGGTTTGATTTGAGCAATTCAATCATAAAAAAAAAAGAAAGGAAAATGCTTTTAGGCTTATCTCCACCTATTCTTCCTCTTTGGTGTGAACCCCCCAACACATTTTGATGATGTTCCATCCCCATGAATGCGATTGCTTTTGGGCATTTCCAAAAGCCTCATCTTGATGCTAAAGCAGAGCTGATTAGTAAAAATCAGAAGCCACATTCAATAGTGTTGCTCAAAAGGGGTGAGAGCACCTCATATTCAAAGGCTCCAATCCATTTCCAAACTAGGGCTCAGCAGCAAAGACAGGATTAACACCTAAATTGTGCGATAACCTGAGAATCAACTCATACGTTATCGATGAGTTGCCGGGCAAAATCCGACCTTTTACACCTGAAAAAGTTTTGAATCTTTCACCTTCCTTCATTTAGACAAAACACAAGTGTTTGCTTGCATGAGTTTTATTGTCTGAACCCCATGAAGATAACATCATATCCAAGTTTGGTGGAATTCTTACCTCAGAAGTAGGTAAAGAGAATAGCATCTCTCTTTACTTTCCTTGAGAAAAGGTTTTCATTTCTTATAAAAAAAAAAACAATACTTTCTAGTTTCTACCCTTAATTCCACAAGAAGGAAACAACCCTACTTACTGTTCATAGAAAATGACTGACTTCACCATCTATGGGGCCAAAGGAAGTGGTTAACAAACAAGACCAATGATTGTTTCCAATTCCCTTTGCAAGTCAAAAGAGAAAGTCTCAGCTGTAGGGATAAGGGGGAAATAATAGTATTGTAAACAGATTCGAAGTGCAGTAAAAGAAACACAGGAGAGGACTTATCAGTTAGCTACATGATGGAAAATTGACAATTACCAGGAAACACAAGATATGAACCCTAACCGGGTTAAGTCAATATTCAGATTTCTGTTGATCTTATCTGCTCAAATTGAGGAAAGAATTAAAAAAACACGTCACAGGAAAAGAGAAAGTTTGAATCTTTGGCGGCTGCAGAGGCACAAAGGTTTGAAGATTCAAACACTTGAACACAAAGAAAGAACAGGAACAGTCACATTTTTAAATGTTCGGATCAATGTAGCAACAAGGTGATGATACAACACAGCTTCAGACATGATCAACGAGTGAATTCGTGAGGCTAAACACACACAAAAAAGCACAATGGTTCTACAGATACAAGAAGAACTAAATTACAAGGCCAGGATTCTGAAAGAAGAACCTGAAATCGCAGATCAGATATCTTCTTCTTCTTCCTCCTTTCCTTGGTTTTAAGGCCATTGGATCCAAATAGCAAGCCGAAAACGCCTTTAATCTTCCACGCAATCTTAGCAGCATCAGAACTGCCCTTGAACTGTTGAGGTCAGTGAACAACAACGCAACAAGCTGTGAATTAGATGAACAAAGTGAAAGAACTGAATTTGGGAAATGGGTTTTGAAGTTCGAACCTTGAAGTAGAGGAAATCGTTTAAGGACTCTTGTTCTTTTTTTTCCTGCCCAAATCGTCTGCCCTATTTTTGGATCTTGTCAATGGCGAGAAATAGAGGAAGCAGAGGACGGCTTGTTGCTGATACCGTCGTGCTCCTCTTCTTGGCCCTGAATCCGCGCTGGTATGCGAAAACCGGAGAATTCGCCTGTTTGAGAGGCGAATCCGATTCCTGGAATCGCCGATTGGTGAACCGCCGGAGAAATATGGTAAGAGTGGCCGTGGAGATCGTCACCGGCGATGTGGTGGTGGTGATGGTGGTAAGGATCAAACCAAGCGCGGATCATGGGCGTGTTAATGGACTGAAGGGGACCCCTCTGAGAAGAAAACAGCTGACTTTGCCCGAACACTGGCTGAAACGACGCCGTCGCCGGCGGAGAAGCGAACAAAAACCCTCCCCCGCCGCCGTCGGGTACTCCCAGTCTCTGGATCCTCCCGATTTCCAGAGATTGGTGGCTCTGTTGGTGGTGCGACTGCTCCCACGCCGACGTCGATGCGTCGAACCCTAGTGGGTTGTTCGGTCCGGCAAAGAGAACCGGCTCCGCCTGGTGATGGTGGAGGAGCAACGGCGGAGGATGATCCTGGAAAGACTGAAGCGAGAGCCGGAGATCTTGGTTTTGGCTACTTGTCCGAGACAGCAAATCCGGCGCCGGATTATGATAGCTCTGCTGCATCAGATGATGCGGAGCCTCGGTTGAAGCACACGCGCCGCCTCCACCCACCGGAAAAAACGACTTTATGGTGTCAGCTATCGAATCTGAATCCAGCGACGCCGGAAGAAAACCCGACCCGTTATCCTCTCCGGTGACACCCACCACCGAAGCACCGCCGATTTCGATACTGAACTGACCCTCGTGCGTCACCGGAGGAGGAGGAGGAGGCGGAAGCTGCTGCGGAGGCGGTGAAGCTTGGTGGGTTTTGGCGGTTCTTCTGGGCTTGGCGTTGGCGGCTGCGTAGCGGAGGGTCTCGGCCGGGTTCCATGGAGGGAGCTCGGCGAGCTCGTCAATGGCGGTCTTGGCCTTTTTGATGAGCCAATCGACGGCTTTACTGGGTCGGTCGAAGCCGAGCCTGTCCTGAACATCGTAGAACTGAATCGCCGTGTGAGCAGACAACCTCACGCGCCTGTCGCGTGGCCCTTTGGCAGTACAGACCTTGCTGTGACGGTCCTTCCTCCCCATTGACCGTACAATGTGACCTCCCTGAACCTCCACGATCTCGCCGCAGCCGTCAGCCGCCGCAGCCGTCAGCCGCCTCATCCCGACCCTCGACGACGGCGGAGGAGAAGTCCGGTGGTGATGGAGGATGGTTGCGGCAGAGGAGTCAGTATCCGCCATTGATGGAGCATATTGGGGCTCACCGTCGTCAGTAAGGTTCCGATGGCTGCGGCGGCGGCGGCGGTCGTTACCCGCCGGAGAATCCAGACTCACTCTCTTTAATCCAATGCCTGCGATTCCCCCATACTGCCCCCGCTCCGACCCCACAACGCTCAAAAACCCTAACCCTAACACCTTTGCCAACTCAAACAATCAACCCAGAAAAAAAAAGAAAAAAACTTTCAGACCCAGAAAAAAAAAGAGAAGAGGAGAAACAGCAATCAAATCGCTAAAGAAAGAGGATGAAGAAGAAATCAAGAAATCTCCGGCCTAACCCATAATATCTAAATCTCTCCTCTTTCCTTTCCTCTTTTCCCTAATTCTTCTTTCTTGGTTTCTGTACTAAAAATGAAAAGAAGCAGACCAAACAGATGAGGCAAAGGAAAAAAAGGAGGACAGAGAGAGAGAAAGGGAGAGGTGTGAACCTGACCAATCAAGAAGACACACAAAACCCAGAGAAAAAAAAAAGGAAACTTTGGAAAATTACAGCGAGGAGTAAAAAATCAAAATCTATAAGTATAATTTTGAGAAGATTTTTAAATGGGGGAGTTAAAAAAAAAGGGTTTTGGGGTTGATGATGATGATGATGATGACGACGACGCCACTGAGAAGGGTGGCAGTGTTTGGTCATAAAAGAGATTGAACATCTCTCTCATCTCATTCACTTGCCTTCTCTCTTCTCTTTTGGTAATAAAAATCTAATAAGCTCCCAAATTATTCAGTCCTGTTTTTACTTCATCATATATATATATATATTACTATTTCTAATGTTTAGGTTTAATCGAAATTATAAAATCGGAACATTAGATAATATGGCTCGGTTATATTATAGATAAATTTGGCCTCTTATGGCCGGTTATATTATTCCCCTCCATTGGTGTCTCTGTCCACTTTAATTTTATTTCCACAATTTATTGTTCTTTTTCCTTTGATTTTTTAACATAATATCAGGATAAACATTTTTTCCTTCAATTCGTTCCAATTTGGATTTGTCGTCTCGTTGCAATTGATTGTCACTGTTTCATTGAAATCGTTAGTTTTGATTATGTATGTGAATTATGCAAATAATATCACAAACAATATAAAACATATTCAAATTTTGACAAAAAAACTTTTTATTTTATCAAATAAACATTAAACTTTTTAAATTTGACAAAATAAGCACTTGATTCTTTTACAATTATCAAAATAACAAAATAAATTATGTGACACAATGAGATACAAACACGTCAGATTATTTTACTTAGTTTTTTTTACAATCGAAAAAAATTCATATATTTTTTTTGGATCACTAAAAAAATTCAGTGTTTTTTTATAATTTATTTTTTTTCGATTCGTTTAACAAGTTTAATATTTATTTGACAAAAAATAAAGTTCAATATTTTTTTTTGTCAAAACTCTAAAGTTCAGTTTTTTTTTTAGGTTTTTTCCAAACATATTTAGACAAATATATGGATTTTTTTTTATCAGCTTTAGTTTTTTTTATCATACCGTTTTTTATTCTATCTACATGGCAAATTATTTTTGGGAAGCTTGTAAAATTCGTTTTGTATAAAAAAAATTCAAACTGTTTCATCAATATAATTATATTTCATAAAAAAAAAATCTAAAGAAACGAATCTAATCCAAATAAAAATAAATAATCTAGGTCAAATATTGACTGTGGCGTAATGGAATAAGAGAAAATTTACAAACACCCCTTAAATCGTTTCCAATTTATTGAAATAAGATTAAAGACCGCAACACAAATCATCGTATTGTACATTATATCTTATTTTATTGCATTAACAATTTGAGTTGAAATTATTCTATCCGAATATTATTTTTGATTAATACAGCGCACCTACTTGAAATGAATAAATAAAAAGCCAGACAAAGCCATATTAATAAAACCTATAATGCTAACACATTATATTATTGGACCAACAAACGAAATTGATAAAATACAGATATAATGTAAAGAGAATATATGTCATCCCCCACGGTTGCATCTTATATTAAATTAGTCTTCCCACTAGAATCAGGCTCATCATTATTTTCCTAATTAATTCCATTTTTTTATTCTTTGGAACAGTTATTTCGCAATACAATAGTTGGTCAAAGATAATGAGGGATCCTATATATATAATATAAAAATTTACATCCTAAAATTCGAATAAATAATGCGGAAAACTTAGTATGTTCCTGATATATGAAACCATAATGATATCAATATATATAATTTGGTATTTTAAAACTTTGGATCGTTTTATTTATAGTTTTGTGAAAAAGAAATTCAGTGTATGTATATATATACAATAGATACAATTAGAACGTCATAAATTACTTGTGGTAATTAAACAAGACATCAATTTTTAATATTCCCGGTTTCCAAAACTTTTGAATTTCTTTTGGCTAAAAATTAACTTGACTACCGTTTATAACAATCTTTTCACAACTTCAATTGGTAGCATCTTGCCATGTTATATTCAATGTTATGTAATTGTTAAAATATTATATATTTTCAACTTCATCAAATCTTTTAATTGGTAAACGTGTATATTAGATATTCACGGATATTTGATTGACTAAACTATAAAGATATCCTGAAATTTACGAAATTATCATTATTCACATCCGACAATTCTTTCGTTTCCGTCCTTCACCTCAAAAAAACTTTTGTCTACACCCATTCCTATTATATATATCTTATATTTACGAATTCTATGTCATCTACAATAATATATGGTAGCCTTTTTTATTTTATCGCCCACCTTATAAGTTTTTTTTTATTCAAAAACAAAATTCAATTGGATCGTATCTCTTTGCTCTATGTGCCTTACGTGCTTCGAGAAGGACGTTCGTTTGGTCCATTAATTTACAAATTAATATATCTAGGTTAATACAAACATATAAATACATACACACACACATTAAGACTCATAGTTATACCCATTTTTATTTGTAAAAAAAAAAAGCACAGTTTCTTTCTGGCATAAGGTAGACAATGTTAAAAAAACATTAGGGTTTAATCGGACAGTGAACAAAACACTATCTTGCTGATGTGTCTAATCAGCCGTACACAGACAATCTACACTGTCGGATCCTTCATTCTTGTGGTGATGAATGTAATGTTAGGCGTGGGATACATATGCATAGGTATCGTATTGTATGTCATGACAGAACCCGAGCCACGGATTCGATTTCGGGTTTCATCGACAAGTATTCGAGCCAGGGGAGAGGTGGGGTTAAGGATAGGGCTGAACCGAGGGGAGGCGTGACTGTTGCAGTGTCGAGAGGGTTGCGATGGGCAAGCGACGAACAACGATCACACGAGATTTCATGAATCCCGACTTGACGTACTATCTCTAACCCGATCTTTTTTTTTGAAGTCTAAAATCTATAAATTACGATAATTTTTTTTAATAAAATTTCGACCGTGAAGAGTGAAGATCTTATCTTATTACTCGTATCATCTCGCTATTTGCAACTCATCCTCGCCGCATTTATCTGCGTTTCCGCATGGATTTGATCATGTTTGTAAAGTAAATTTGAGAATATATATGGAGGTTGACTACAAGTCGACCACCGCCTTTGTTGTGTTTCTTGGGAGTCATCCGGTTGTTTGGTCATCCAAAAAACAACGTGGTGTTGCTCGTTCTTCTACGGAGGCTGAGTACTGCTCGGTTGTTACCACCGCGGCTGAGGTTCGTTGGATTGCTTCTCTCCTCTCGGAACTTGGTTTCGCCTCGTCTAGTCCACCGGTTGTTTATTGTGATAACATTGGAGCAATGTACCTAAGCGCCAATCGGGTTTTTTCATTCTCGCATGAAGCATATTGCTCTTGACTATCACTTTGTTCGAGGCCTCGTTGAGTCGAGCGAGCTCCAGGTATCACATGTCTCGGCCTCAGATCAACTAACCGACGCTCT